GGGGGGGGGTCTTCGACCTGAAAAATCAGGGGTTAGGATTTGCACCCGGTCGAAAGAAACCTTGCTATCGCAAGAGTAACTCCAGCTAGCTTCGCTAGCTTTCGTGATATATAGTATATATTATTAAAGTATATATGTTACAATATGTTGATCAAATTAATTATATAACTATTTGGATAATCTCATTTCTGAACAAAACACATTGGGTGCCATAGTTGCTTTCATCCAAAGCACCGTTCAACCGTGTTCAACCGGATCGCAGTTCGTCCGACCGTTCACTCCCGGTAACGAAGCTGCAAAAGTCGACGATAACCGTCTCCGGAGGTTCTGCTTTTTGGGATTACAAAGCCCATCATCCTTATGGGGTGGGTTTGGAGGGTCCAAATACCTTCTGAGGAGGTACTTTTACTTGGAGCCCTAGGGTATACAACTTTTAACAGTTTAACAGTTCCCGGACGTTTCCATCAAGACGCTGGATTGGCTGCTGGAGACGCTTTCCGTGTCGGAGACGCTGCTCGACGAGGCGCTGGGGTCCCGGTGCCTCGCGACGGTGTGTTGGGTCGAAACGGGGCGATCGCGGCCAGGTGGTTTTGAACGTTTTTCACTGGGTTTTTCAAGAGAGGTTGCTGAGGATGGCTCCCCATATAATGAATCTTCCTGCATGGGCAACTGGCAAAGGCGTGAGTCAAGAGAATGAGCTAGTGTGAGCTCCCTTTTGGAATTGGTTTGGAAAGGGGGAGCTGAAAGTTACGGGATGAGAGACTGGGAATTGACATGAGGCCCAAAAAGGAGTTTGAACAAACGCAATTATGGCATTTTATGTGTAAATTTGGTGATAAACGCCGTTTAGTAGCCCAGCGGGGCAGCTTGACCAAATTCATGTCGCGGTTAGATCATACATCTCCTTTTGGGAGAGTTTGGAGGAGGTTAGCCCGCGCCAAGTTGGATTCATCCGAAAAACACACATTGCACCTGCTCTGTCGTCCCACATTTCCCTTGTGAACCAGGACCTTGGATGACCTCGGTCTGCTGTCCTGGACCTGTCCCATGTGTCCTCCCATTGTGCATCTAGATGGCCGTTCGGCAGTGTCCAGCAACGAAGTGTCCAGCTTGCTGGTGGAGCGCACGTTGAGCCTCCAAACGTACCAGGAACATCCCACGCAACGCGTCCCCCGGAACCCACAGTCCACCTGGCCGGGGAAGGAAACAGCATAAGACTCTACAGTTGACAAGTCGTCCTGCAACTGGGAATCAAAAATAATAGGATCAAGTAGGATCAAGTCTGTATCTCCAGAGATTCCGCATAATACCTTTGAGGTGGGGGATGTGATATGCGTGAGGGATGTAAAAGGTATCCATTGTGCGACCTTCTCAGAAGGTATGCATGCCAAACCCACTGGATCCAGTTACCACTATAGTAGGTATAACTAGTGGTTCCAAAGGCTTGCACCGGAGACCTACTGTAATACTAGTATCCCTGGTTCCTTACATAGTGGATGCCGCCGGGATTCACTCAGAAAAGGATTCCTACCCCATGTCCCGGCCTTCTGAGGTGAAGGGCTTTACAAGACTTTTCGTATGATGGCACACATGACCCACCGTGCTGCTCCATTGCAAAATCCCTTTGGTCGGACCATCTGGCAATCATGTTTCCAAACGCTGCTATGGCTCAATAGAGGGCACCCCTACCCCCCCAAAATACAAGGTATAGGTATGCCTCATACAAGAAGACTACCCTATAAACGAACCTTTTCCAAGTAACACTCCAGACCCTACCGACGCTACCGCCCTACCTTCATCCCCAGCGGGCCTGGTGTCAACCTGTTTCATGCCTGGCGAAACCGAAAGGATACTGAAATCGAAATGATACACCTGGACCTCTGAAAGGGTCTTTTGGATGACACATGGAGGGTGGAGAAGGTTTTTCAACCATCCCGCAGATTGGTGACCCCGAAAACAGTTTTTTAGTGCGTCATTCATCTTCCGAGGCTCCTTTTCAGGTCCGTGTTGGCATTCGAGAGCGTCTGAAACCAACGCAAACGATATCTGGGACTGGATTGTTGACAAGCAAGTTCGGGTTGCTGAAAAGAGGGGTCAATGTAGGCAATTGTTCCAGGTCCATGCACGGATCATTTGAGTATTGTGAGCATGGAACAAAATGACTGCCTGTTGAAATACAATGACATACTATGAAATACTTATATATTACAGCCAGTCCTTCTAGTTCTTTCCACAGTTGCTCTCTCATGGTGATCTAAGGCTCTCCAGTTCAAGATCTGGTACTTGGAGAGGGAGCACCAACAGCACAACCAACAATTCAATTGGGGATGCCCCGTGTCAACACCTTCAATTCCATCACAGCACACCAAAACGGTGGCAGTTTGCGTTAAACTGCCGTTGCGACCAATGGAGTGGACCGAGATGAGATCGCGACCGTCGAACTGTCGTGGACCATTGTGCCTTCAGGGTAGTTGAAGGCAAAGGAGGAGGAGATCTGCGCTGAGGGCTGCCAAGAGTGGCTCCTGAGAGGAAGTGTCTGTTGAAAACACACAGCCAGAACATCAGCAAAAGAGAAATAATGCATCTACATATAACCGGATAACCGTCCTTAAGTACATGAAATACGGAATTGGGCCGCCAAAGTACATTCCGTCATTTCAATTGCATATTCTAGGTACCCTGCTTCGACCAAAAAACAAAGGGAATTGTAATATTCCCAAGCGGATCAATTTGGGTACTTGAAATTGGAATATCTAAGTTTGTGCGTGCGGATGTTTCGATTGTGGCAAGCGGGTGTTTCGATAGTACAATCCTGAGATTATTTTAGGGACCCCGATATTCTATGTATTGTATTATTCTTTTGGTTGAGCGCCGCGGGATTGAGTTGCACCAACATTCTATTCCATGTACTTCAGGATGGTTATAACCCAATAATTTTCACCTTCATTTATTAATGTTTCCCTGGACCCCCAAACTAGTAACCTGTGCTGGCTTACGAATTACGATTCACACTTGAGGCGGCTTGGTGGATTTGGAGTGGAACCGCTCCATGAATTGCATGGCTTCTACGTTGGAAGATAACATGCAATGCTTTGGTGTTTTGAATATTTCTTTGCCAGGCCTTGTATGCCGATCACACTCAAATGTTCATAAATTGCTGCGTAAAAGGAAAGCGACTATATATATATATATGTTATGATGCGTTCCTTTGCTGAAAATGGTGGTCTTCATTGCCAGGGTGCGAACGGCAAGAACTCACTTCAAAGGTTGTTTGTTCTCCAGTGGCCTTTGTGAATGCATTCATTACGAAGTGTAAATATATATATATATATACTGTGTATACATATCTATATAATATATATATATATATATTCGGATCCATCCGGCATTGCCTTCTTTCGGAAACGAATCTATGTGCATACAACTTGGAGCGACTGCGTCAAGGTCCTACAATCTGCTCAAACTACATCGTCCTCAGTCCCAAAGGTGTGAAAATGTATCCTCTTTTAAATCTAAAACACTGTTTAACCGTGTTTGACTTACATAAGGCAGTGGGATATGAACATTGAACACCACTATATACCCGTCCCAAAATATTGCCTTCTGACTGCCTGGAAGCTATAATGATGCTCGTTGCACGGCTAACAGCCCTTTACCTCCTTGAAGAACGAGCAAACGTTGCTTCCGGCCAAGGTGTCAATGGCGGATTTGATGTTCCACAAGCATTGGTTCCATTCCAGCAAAACAACATCTGCATGACCATTCCACTCAGCCTGTAGTGCCAAGCAAAGTATGTAGGGGCACACATTGAGCTTGACCTCTCAAAACACCGAAAGCAAACCTCACCTGCGAAATAAAGTTATATATCTACGACACGACTATACTTATACGTAACATATACAGTTATACACGGTTGTACATGCTATGCAACCCCACAGAAACAACACGCATGTCAACAAACGAGAAACTTCTATCCCGACAGGATAGAATAAACACTCAATGCCTTCAATCTCGAAACAGCATTGACAACCTTGTCGAGTGAAACAACTTCGAATTCTAAGGACCACTTGCGTACGAGGGCCAATTCCAGGAGTAGCTCTTGTTGTCTTCCTCTACTACTCAGGATAAATATGTACATATATATATATATGTTTTTTTTACATTATTTGTGATAAAATACTGTACTATTATATAAATACTGAAGGCTTGCAATCAATGCTTTGTGGCAATCGCTTGAGATGCACCAACCTCCTATGTTTTCTTCAGCAACTTCTTATTCTTCTCTGGGCAGTAGGATGGACATCGCGACCCCCCCCAACAGCAGCTTCATGTACATTATTGCTTATATGTCAACCCTAAACCCTAAAGAGGATTGAAAGATTGCTGTGGGTCAAAACTGGGGTAGTTTGGGAGAGACCACCGAATATGAATAGACCAACAGCTGTTGGTCAACTTACCATTGATGAGGGCTCCCCCTGTTTTGATCCACAGGCATAACATTAAGAGAAATTGCTTTTTGATTGTCAATTGATTTACATGTGTCATTCTGAAACCCCCTGTAACAATGGATATGATGGTTACTTTGCAGGCCTTTCTCTAGGTTGTGAACTGCTCTTGTTTACCGACTGTTACAGGTTTACTGGGACACAGGGACACAAAAGCCTGTTTTATAACTGGTGTAATTCTGTGTCTACAACAGTCTACCTTTGTGTGAGTCGCACCGGGAGACCCTAATTCGGTCTTTTCCGAGTCGGTCCACCCACGAAAACCAGACGGAACGGTGAGTCGGTACCGACGACCTGGACGAGTCGGTCCACGTACCGACCCGGTGAGTCGGTACGAGGACCGATCCCGCACCTGGGGACCAAGATGTCCCTGCTGCCCGTCGCGGGCAAGATCTCCTGGGCGCCACCGGGACCGAGCTGGACGGAGATCCGGAGATCCGGCGGTTCGGTCAGACGCCGGTTGGTCGGACAGGTGCCGGGAGATGAGGATGACCTAGATGGGGAACATTCATGATGTTGTCAGTTCACACTGGCATTGAGGGTGGACTTGCCAAAACTCCTGAAGAATCTGGGTGATGAGTGTTCTCCAGTGAGCTATAGAGAGAGAGAGCTCGGCTCGACCTTTTTTGCAGCCAGGCTCGACAGAACTGACTCGCGTTCGAGCCACAAAACATCCGTTCATCCTCATGCTGTTTCAACAGACATTTCATCGGATCTGCTGATCGGATGTTGCACCAGGCAGATTGACCCGTGGGAAAACGTACGATCTATATATCTGTGGTAGGGTCCAACGAAGTTCTTGCAAGACCCCAACAAGGCCAGCCAAAGGAGCCTTCTCCACCCTTGGGACCCAAAGATAGGTGAAGCTGGACACCCTCCTTTGAATTCCTACTGAACCCCTCTGAACCTCTAGTAGCGTCCTTGCTCCTAGTAGTATGGCCAGGAGCCCCTAGAAGAGTCCTTGCTCCTAGTAGCGATGCCGGGAGCCCCTAGTAGCTTCTTGTTCCTAGTAGTAAGGTCAGGAGCCCCTAGTAGAGTCCTTGTTCCTAGTAGCGATGCCAGGAGCCCGTAGTAGCTTCTTGTTCCCACACCATCCAAAGCCAGCGTCACTCTTCACACGTCGCATTTGAGTGGACAGCTCTCCCTTCACGCTGCTCTCCAAGATCAAATCCCTACGACCGAGAAAGACACGTCTGGGCCGGCCGATCAGAGCGTCGACCTACGACCTGCGAACCACAAGTCCAATGCATGGAATGGACGACCAGGGAGGTCCACCGGTCCGGCCCAAGGATGACCGTGCTGTTGCGAAGAGGAAACAGGTGGAGAATCATGGAGAATCCACGTACCCACTCGGAGAGTAGAAGTGCTCTGTCTGATTCGTTCCTGCGAAACGTGTGATGTTAAGATCAAGATGTCAAGAACTCCCTGAAGTCCGTCGCTCCGGCGCCGAAACAGGTGGAGAAACACGACCCAGACGGTGAAGCAGGTTAGGCTGAGCCTATCTGATAGACCCATCGCGTCTCTGTCCGTTGGTTTTGGGGCTGACTCCTTGGCGCTTTTTGTATTGGGCAACTGCGTAACTTCGTCCACGGTTTGGACGGCCAGGTGGTGCGGATTGCGGAAAAAATGTTCCAGACTCTCCATGTCTTGTATTTGGCTTTTGCTACATCGAGGTAATGGAGTACGCGGAGTGTCTGGGAAATTAGGCTTGTTGGACACAACCAGTCATATAGACATAGGTGCCTTCAAAACGGCCACGAAACTCAAGCTGAATCACCAACTAAAAAGGGATTTCAACAGAGTTTCAAAGGTGCTATAAATGTAAGATCAGATTCAGAAATCCTATGTCTTACAACTCACAAGTTCTAAAAGCCAGCTCTTTCGAAATTGATGACACATGTATGCTGGCTACCTCACTGCTGTCCAAGCCTGGTATCTGGGAAGAACTCCAACATCAAATAGGCCTGGCCAGTGTGCAACAAAATTTGAGGGTTCATGCTTATTGTCGTTGCTTGTTTCCAATGGATGGAGCATGAAGAGGAACACACACATCCCATCACCATTTTGCTCTAAAAACCACGCATCCAAACCAACTCGACAGCTTGAATATATAATGTTGCTCCTACTGGATCTCTGTGGTCATAATTGAGCCCGGTGGGTGAATCGGTTCAATCCCTTCGAGGGGGACATCCCCAGGCATCACCCCCGCCATACCTCCTCATGTACCAACCGTCTCCTTCGTACCAACCGTATTCCTTCTGTGGCTTCACCAAGGAATTGTGAACTCCATAATGCCACTTGGCCCACAAAAAAACATGGGCTCTGTTCAATCTACTTAGCACTTGTTTGATCCTTAACAATACTGACAATACTTATATCTTTATCAGTATTATACCTTCTGCCCTTAAACATACTTAAACCACGTATAATATAGGTTCCACCACTGGTTCCACCACTAATTATCTGAAGCCCATTCTCGTCCAAAGTGGCCGACCGTTGTGCCCGAGAAGGAAACTGCTTCCATGGCGCGAGGCGAACATAAAACACACTGAGTGTCTATAACCGGTCCCGACGTGGCAGCTGATCCTGCTAGGGAACAGCTCCTCGTCTCCGATAGAAAAAACAAAAACAACAACACATGTTCGGGGGACCATCCACCGATTTCGGTCCCGATTCTCCTTTTTTTGGATGTGTCAAACCCAGGGATTGCTTCTTTTTCTGGGCTTTCCCGGACCAGTCTGCCAGGTCCGACTCGATTTTCTTTCACGAGGCGTCGGCTGGGCCTTGAAGATGTCAATCATCATCGCCAGGAGCGGCACCACGAACCCGCCGGTCCAAAAAATGGGCTTTTGCATCACGTGGTAAAGCATCTGGTACCTTGGAGACCATCCGGTGACCGGAAAAAAAAAAAGACTATAGGTAGTTGGAACTACTTAATAGAGTAGTGAGTTCCAAGTATTCAACCATGTGCATCCAGTGACTTGACCCACCACCCCTCCTTGTTAGAATCCACCTGCCCAAGGACTCCCCTTTCTTTGGGGGGAACTCCGACGACCTGAGAGGGGGGAGGAGGGGGGAGGTCTGCGACCGCTCCATCTTTCTACCGGAGCAGGTTGGAGCACAAGCGATGGCCTCCAACCTACTAGCAATGGCAATCCAAGTCACACTTCCGGAAAGAAGGACGGCAACTGGCAGTAGACGATGGCGAAAAGCCTTGCCGAGGTCTTAGTCTTCCGAAAAAGGCCGAGCGAGACATGTCACCGATGATCTACTTGGACCCGAGGGCTTTCAGCATGTGACGCCCATGCGCCCGGACCCGAGCCTCTACTTCGGGAGTCCAAAAACTCTGAATCCCCCTATAAGCCTTGACTTCGCAGTGCAACTTCATAGTCTGTGGACTTGTACGAGTAAGGTTTGCAAAGATTAAACATCCATTTACACATGCTGATTCCTGAGTCATTTCTCTGGAAAATCAAGCTTAACCCTTTTCCACCTGTTACACCATCCATGCTTGTTTTGAGTTGGCTTGAATGGAACATCTATATAATCATCCCCGAAAAGGCTGAAACGTGTGTAAAGGCTATATATACAGCTTTATACTTTTCCTGGGTAGGAATGGGACCCGAAGGTGAACTTGCCTGCCCATTCGACCCCTCCACTACCACTCACCCAAGACCCCTCCAGGGAAAAAAAAAAACATTCTCAGCTCCAAAGACCCTCCACAGGATGTACCGGGACCTCAAATTCTAAAAGCTTAGTGCCAAATGATCTGGAGCTTCGCAGCTTCTCCAAGATGTTCCTTCGAGTGACCCTTTGAGATCCCAAGGATCAGGTCAAACACATCCAGCAACCGGTCAATAGGAAGATCCCTTTTGCCGCAGCTTTGCAAATCATCCGGGAAAAAATAAAGAAGAAAAAACGCTCTAGGCGCCCGCTTGATCTCCGAACACACCCCGCATTCCCAGCCAAATTCCGACTGTGGGTTCCGTGTCGCCCGAGCGACAAATAGGTGGCAAAGGAAGCCACCAAGGAGGCCACAAAGACCCAGTTGTAGGTTGTAGTGATGAAGATCGCCCGGTAGTTCATGGTCACCACCACCTGAGAGAAATACACAAACCGGTACACTATATTAAGATAAACTGTACATATATATAGCAATACTATATAACTATGTACCTGCACAGCTCACAACATGTCACAACCAAGAGTGCTTTTCACTTGTTCTCTTTCATGTGTGCCAACCTGCTTATCAAGTGTATACGCATCCAAATCTTGGGTATAATTGTATACTGATTTGAGGGTTTGGTAGATCGTCCCCGGCATCCTGAAGGTCATCTCTTCGGTGCTGGGGAAACCCATGGGTTTGCCCGGTTTGGGTGTTTCAGTGATAAGACCGTCCTGTGACTTGGAGAAAGCAGAACTGCTCAGAAGCCATGAAAAGAAATAGCTGCTCAGCTTACAATTCGGGCCAAGCAAGAGATAGGTGTCTACTGAAGTAGACATCGAGGTCGACCAAGGAAAGACATTCGGTCTCATCACTTCGGCCCATGGGTTCGAAGCCTATCCGAAGCCCATGTAGTTCAAGACGCTCATGGATGGAGCTTTCAGGCAACTGGTGGGACACGAAAGGACAGGATCTCACCCAGACCCGAGCCGAGACAAAGGTGACACCTGTGTGGCTTACATGAGTGACGCCGTTGATGACGCCGGGAACACCTCATGTTAGCTCTGTCACCCTATTTCAATGCACATCCAAGTACACAAAGGTATCTCTTGGGTATATCCTAATCCCTGTAACAGTGGATGATGATGGTTGGGTTGCAGGCCTTGTTCAAGAATAGTGTTGTTTACTTACTGTTACAGGTAACAGGACCATGCATATGTTTTTTTAGCTCTATGTATAATATGATAACATCAAGTTTCTCGTCTCCATGAGACCAACCTGTAACACTGTATACTAGTACATCCCCACCGAAACCTGTACAAGAGCTAGGCTCGGAGGTGGTAAATTAATGGAGACACAGGGGACACCAATAAGTTGATACCAAAATCTATACAGCAGCCAGCCCAGTCTTGATTGGGTCTGCACTGTCACAACATGGGAGAGTCCATATGAGCCAATGGGATGCCCTGAAAGCTTGCAGATTCGTTTCCCTCGCCGGTATTGTGGGCATTTGAGCTGCCCACACATACCCATGCTCCCCAAAAATTCATCCCCGCTGTAGCCCGCAATAGTCTTGGGGAGCTTTTCAATGCATCTAAAATAGTCATCACACGCACTGGACAGCCAGTCTAGCACAGGTGACCACAGCTAGTCTCAAATTGGCGCACATGGTCTGGATCGTGTTTTTGTGGGGACTCTTCATCTCGCTGGTGTCTCCGGCCTTCTCCGGTGTCTGTATTCATCCCAGTCCAAGTTGCCCAGGAGAAGATCATGAAGCTGAAGGAATAGTAGGACCCCGTGGCACCGATGTCAAGGTCTCCCACACTCACCACAGCGACCTGCAGCTCGGCAGTAGCGCTGCCGTGCGGATGCGCGCTGCCGGCCGTGCGGCAGCGCGCGGGCGTGTGGCGTGTGCTACCGTGACCATCATGGTCATAGTGAGCCGTGCTTTTGATCAGTGTCTCCAGATCAGTGTCAAGGGGGGTTAGCAATAGCTTGTCGGGTTCACAGCAGTCTTTACAGTGGAACTTGGAGTGCACGAAAACAAACACATACAGAGGCTCTCCCGGAACACGTGCGCAAGGTTTTGATCTATCTTAGCAGCATACCCCACCACAAATACGATACACCAACACAAAGCTTTTCTGCCACTAGTCAAGACGCAGCTCCAAATCAAGTTTTTGAAAACCCTGTACACCCGACCTCAATCGACTTCACACTTATTAACTGAACACTCCTTATGGGGAATCTCTGGTCGAATCCTAGGCGTCTCATGACGAATCAGAGGATCTGCTTGGAAAGAAGGACTGGAGTCCAGTCCAGCCATCCCAAGCCTCTCCAGTCCAAGCGACGGTCATGATCACCATGGAATGGACAAAGGCGGATAAAAGCATCTCAATCATCTTTGTGAGGTTTAAATCCTCAGCTCTCCCACTGATCTCTGATGCCAAAGGGAGAGGCGGCACCATCAGGCTTTTGCAAAAATACTGAATACAACGCATCTACTTTGAGTTCATGGACTGCTTCTCTGATGATGGGGCGAGGGGTTGTTTTGCCGGGGAAGTAATCAATTGTGTGGCTGGTCGGTTTGGTGGTGTTGGCCAATCTTGCCAATCCACTGTGGTCAGAAAACTTGCACAGTCACATACCAAGATATACCAAGCATCATCGGAGCCTCCAAATGCGGGGAACAAAAAACCAATAACTATGACTATAACCAGAGAAGTCTGTTGAAAGAGGCAACATGATGCAGTCAGATATCATACCGATCGGCAAGCAAGATCTGGTTCTTGAAAATAGGTCTGAAACTGCACCCAAAGGGCCCAAAAGCACAATTTATACCAAACTAGACAGTAGTAGTGAGAAAAAACACGTATCAATTGCAATGTCCCAAAGTAATGTTATCGTCTTTAACTCTTGTCTTTTTCGGGGCTAGCAATGCATTAGTAGTGTTTTTGGGCGCAAACCAATACTCAACTGCTGAGCGTGGGGTTCTTTCATCAGCCCACATGGTCCACCACGGCAGTTTCCGTGCGGCTCTGGAGCCGCCCTCCCCACGGTCAGGATCCAAGTCTCCAGCCCCAAGCGACCCGTCCTAAGAGCGATGCAGATGGAAGGCCGAGAAAACCAGAGTCCTTCGGGGACTAAAGAGTCGCCGGTGACTCTACTAATTACATGATTTACTGGTTCTACTCAAGATTCTTCCTTGATGAGGACTGCGGACTCCATAAACACCATTCAGCTATCTTCCTGCCGTCTGTTTTGTGAGCGTGTTCAGCTCTCCTGCACCTCTGGTTTCACAGCAACAATAAGTAACTTTTGATACCCAAACAACACACTTTCCACTCAGCCGGTTGGCATGAGGACCCACACAACACACCTGTTTCCGAACCGACATGGGAAACAAGGCCTCTACAAACAGGTCTGTTGCCTTTTCGGGTGCACCCTCCTTCTTCTCTCTTAACATGACATCGATAAATTTTGGTCCAGCTCTGGCAGGCATATCGAAAAGTCCCCTCCCACTCACTAACATGGACGTGGAACATGGACCCTTGGATGACGACCTTTATCTACCAATCAGATCCAATCAGGGTATCCACTTCCACCATGTGAGTGGGAACGTAGCTGACTTCGCAAAATTCAGAAACAAATATAGTCATAGGAGTCCAGTAGGAAGAAAAGATCCTACTCACCACAGCTGCTCAAGCCTGTTTTTTTTGAGGTTTTTGAGCAGACCTATATATCAACGGGTGGACTTCCCGGTCGACCGTGCCGTCCGCGCTTTTTCATGACATCCGAAGGCTCTCATAGAGTGCCGGGTACTTCACCGCCTGCGCGTCCGTGACGTCGCGGTCGAAGAGAGTGGTGGCGATGACCGGCCAAAAGAGGATCATGCTGAAGGAGGTCCACACGGTGCTGGTGAACATGCCTCAGTGGTGTTGCAGCGAAGGAAGGCGAACAAAGTATCGTATCTTGAAGTGATATAGCGAAAAAAGGGGGGCGACATGGGACATTCGCAAAGGAATTACACTCAAGAGTTCCGGCCCACCAGGAACAGGTATGCCATGGTATGCCATACCTCTTACAAATCCAAGACTCCAGGCGATCTTCAGGCTCGGCTTGTGGACTTGGACACAGGTGACAGGTGTTCTTCGAGATGAAGCTAAATAAATTAACCCTGACCGATTTCTGATCTGTGGACTTGTGTTTTCACAAAGGAACAAACGGATAGATTCTGCGGTGTTTGCTTAAAACAAAAACTGCCACCCCATGCTACAAAGGATGGTCACTCAAGCGTATCGGATGTCTTGCATATCTGATGAGTCTGGGTATTCTCAGGAGGTTCCTCATCTCAGCTCCAGAGATCATCTCTATTGACCGGCCGTAGGTCTCCAGGTCTGACTGGCCGTTGGTTTTCCAACACCTACCTTGCTGCGCAAAACTTGCGACCGAGGCGCATGTGCCTGAATAGCCTGAGAAAAAGGTGTAGTAGAAAAGCAACATCGTGATGATCCTGAGATCTCAAGCTTCCTGGACATTCAGAGACTATGTCAATCGCAACACAAGCTATACACATTTAGGAGCATGTTTTACTGAGAATGTTCTTGCAGGCTACTCCAGAATATAGAATAGAATTGTGTGATCCTTTTCTGATCAGTGATAAGGACCTCCTGAGCTTGAGGATGTTTGCTGATAAGGCCGTAGGTCTGTAGTCTTTTTCTATCTTTTGCTTCATTAATGAAGGTCACCTGATCTGGATGATTCTGTATGGTTTACCCTCTGATTCTTTAGGGTCTACCTTGGGCTTCGTTGGATTTGCTGGCTGTATTCTTGTGGTTCTCCCATTTTGAGGCACATGATGAAACATGTTATATACACACATACGTATATTAATGCAAAAGCTACCCGCAAACAACAGTTTGAAGCTCCTCGGAGGCTTTGGAAAATACTTCCAGGTTGGTGGCGGTGATGGTTTGGTGGCCCCAAAAGACTGGCTCCGAGCTGGGGAAGAAAGGCTACATAGCCCCGTTGGTTTGGCTGAGGTGGCACATCTTTCAACGACACTTTACATCACCAGGTCTCGCATTCTTCCAGAAGGTGTAGAGGATGAATTTGCAGGCCCTGCATTGAACGCTTTGCGTGCTTCTCATCAAAACAATCACTGCAAATCGCAACGAACCCATACGAACTTAACCCCCCTTTGCAATTCTCTATAATCTTTGCATGACAAAGTAAGAACCTGCCCCCAACGTAGATGTCTTGAAAATGCATGGCAGTTGGTTTTATGTCCACCTGCTCACAACACGTGGGACCCAGGGTTGGCATTACTGCAAGCATTGTTGGTCAAACAATGTCGACACTACACTATTGTGGTGGACGACATCCGCAACCGTAAACCGTACCACAAAGACTCAGTGCACTTGAACGTGGACCACATGTTTGTCGATAGTCCTGTGCCCTGCGTTGATCACCGCGGGACTTTTTGTGCTTCCTTTTGCAACCGGAATTTAAAGAACAAACAACCCCTCACACACACAAGAACAGTCTTGCACTTTGGATCATACTTGGAACCACAGGAATTCTCCTGTTTCTAGCGCAACAAGGTTTGTTTGACTCTATGTAGTGCAATTCGAAAAGAGACAGTGCACCCTGCAAGCACGACCACATCCAGTCACTACTTGTAGTGACAAACATACTACACAGCCAATAGCCAATAACCACATCCACATCCAAGAAAATACTGTAGAGTAAGTCGCCAGACTGGTATTGAGGCTTTTTGTCCCAGTACTCACCCGAACTCCCTCAGTTTCTCCCGGTTCTTCACCTTTGTCCATCTGTGCATTTTTTCCGTGGAGAATCCCAAATCCCCTGACTGGGTGGGCACGTGCGAAACTGGACTGGACTGTCGGGCACGGTGGGGGCATATGCAACACCTGGCACACAACATCATGTATCAACCAACCAGATCGGATCAAATACCAGGGACCTTCACGCGCACCTCACCACATCTTTGGCTGCCGCCCACATCGTGGCCGAAGGGACGCAAGAAGACCGAAGACTTCGAAAAAGAGAAACGCGCCCGGTCCTGCGGTAGTCCCAGCGCCCGTGCACCAGCAAGAGCCTCTCGAGGAAGCGGAACTGGGCGATGGAGAAATCCGCCGCGTTCACCGCTTGGCGGCCCTCCTTGCCTCGGAGCCGCGCGAGCGAGCACGGGCGAAGGAACGGCGGGGACGTGGTTTTGGTGTGGCAAAGCGAGGGAGAGTGAAAGAAAACAGATAATATGATGGCTGCTAGGGCATGCTAGAGCAGGGTTCTGTGAAAGCATTTGAAAGCTAACCCTAACATCACAAAATAGGAACGTATCTGATCGTATCTGCAGGTGGATCCCTTTCAAGATCCCTTTCCAAATCAATGTAGATGACACTTTGGTAGTCATGATTCTCATCAGGATGCAAGCTAAGTGGAGGGTCCCAGGGCACCATCAATTCTTAGCAGCAACCAAACTAATATGATCTAAGACTCTTGGTACTAAGTTTAAGTAGTTTACTGCTTCCCCGGTAAAATCGATAGGTTGTTGACCCGTTGGCTGTTCTGTTGGCTGTTCCAAGCTCTAAGTACACTGAAACCAGCTGACTGCTTCCGCGGTAAGTGGCGACTGTCCGAACGGGGGAAGGGGGGGAGCACTGGAGCGGGTGACGGTCAATCTTCAGACACAGCCATGCGTAGTGTGGATGCATTGTTTATTTTCTATAGATATATATCAATGATTATAAATTGTGCATAGTTCATATTATTTCAACACGCTTACTGTCTATAGGCTATTGGACCTCCACAACGCGGGGCACAGGTATTTGTTTCGGTCCAGGTGTGCACTGCACAGCACACAATTACAAGCTGGCTCGCGTGCCTCGCGTGCCTCGCGTGCCCAGCTTCCTCAAAATCCCTTCACTTCTGAAACCAAAGAAGTGGATTCTAATTCTTATACAACCAGGGCCCCGTCTTGCTACCCTGTCGAGTCAAGGCCTTGGAAAGGAGTCTTCTGCAACATGTTCGATGCTGCCCACGGACGGACTGTGAGAAAACCACACAACAAATGCGAGTGCACACTGTCTACAACACCCACAAACAGGCGCCTGCTTTTTTTCAGTTTTGCAGTTCTTCCAGGGTCAGGACGAGAACCGTTGAACATCAGTTCAACGCGCAAAACAAGCCAAACGATGCATCCAAGGGTCCTGAGACTCCGACTCCAACATGTGCCTCTTGGATCATTGGCACGTCCTCAGGACACGCGGACGTTTTTTTCCGCGACCGAGTTCGCGGTTCGTGGTTATTTTCGGCTCAATTGAGGTCGACACGTTAAACACATGAATACTTTTTGGTTTTGGGTGGTCTTTTCAAGACAGTGTATGTACCCCCTAAAAAGTGAAGAATTTTCTTTCCAATTCCAAGATCGCCAGGACCCCACAGCACCTTGAAGATCCTGGAATGCAATGGTGAAAGCAATCACTTTTGGAACCCAGTTTTCTCACGTCAAATCAAGGCGCATTGGCACCGTCGCCGATGGCCAAGGTGATGGGTTGCGGATCCTCTGATTCGCGGACCATTCCTCGACGGCGCTCGCGAATCGACGGTTTCGACGAGCTTCCAAATGGTTTTGGGGGATTTGGGGGGTCCATTTAGTCCTCTTCACTGGTGTTGTTTTTTGTTGTGCATTTCTATTATTTTTCACGGGCTGAACGGGAGAGCTGTGGAGACTTTGAGGGTCCCTTTGCGTGGCGGCTGGCCATTGGCCGCTTTGCCGAAAGCAAACCCTTGTCGCCCAATTTCAGAGGTGTTCCAATGAACGCTTCGTGTCAGCGGCTATGTGGGAAGAACAGTGAACTTGATAGATCGATCCACATTGAGCAATGGCGGTAAGTCTTACAATCAAAGGTAAGTCTTTCAATCCATGTGCCCGGGCGAAAGCAAAAAAAACACGAAACACGGCGATGTGACATGGTGACATTTTCCGAATCCACCAGCTTCTTTCACATAGTTATAACATGTTTGCTTTTCCTGGCGGGACTTCCAAGCCTCGAAACAAGACATTCAATGACATCACCTAGCACCCAAGCTCTCCCAAGACTTCTACCCAAGACTTCGTTTGATGCAATACTCGGGTAGAAGTCTTGGACCAACTCCCCGAGCGACAAAAATCCGGAGTGGAGAACATTTATACTCTCTTTGGGAAGGTCCAGGGCCCAGGGGCTCCTCCCCACCATTGTCCACTTGCATCTTAGTCAGCAAAGTGACTGCAAAATACACTGAAATCCAGTGGACCTACACTCCCACAAATCCGAAAACACCTTGTACTTCCTCTGAACCAAAGCTCACCCGAGCCCTCACGAGCTCCAAGGCACGCACCAGCTGGGACTTTTGCAAGGGGGATACTCGGCACGCGACCACCACGCTGCAGTTCTTCGAGACTTCGAAGAAGTCCTGGACACGATTCCACACATACTTCACAACAGAATCCAGTTTTTTTTTCACAAGAACGTTGCGTGTGATCAAGCTCCCACCGTACGTTACGTGTGGCTCTGAAGGGAACTTCGGTTGGGAGTCTGACGTATAATGGCCATGGGCCATGTGCATTCCAACGTGTCACACGGGAACAACCATCTCCGAGGTCACTCGGGGTGGGACCGCCCTGGGCTGATCGGGCTGATCGCTTCGGAGGGGTTACAACTGGCGAGTGATGCGACGGCGATGCAGCTCCGAGGAAGGAGGTTTGTGCAGAACACCGGTGTTTGTGTGGACAGTTTCTTTAAAACATACAACTGTGCCCTTGTATACTTTCCTTTTTTTGCGTATGCGTCACAAAAACGATCAAAAGCTGTTTTAAGATAACGTTTTAAGGCCGTTTGTTGGAATTACAATAGACTCAGGATGTACTCGCTTTCACCCACCTCAAGATGATGCCATCAACAACACCATTGTCTTGGCATGGTTCTTGGGGAAACAACCACAGTGACGATCTGTGACTGGTGTGTTACACAGTGCTCTGCTCGGCTGTCCGCTGTAGGTCGTGCGCAAATGCCCGTCCTCGCTGAGGTTCTGCGCTGTGACATGCTCCAGCGCAAGGCCTGTGACCATCAACGCGCACGTGAGGCCGCTCTCCTGACTTCACCGAGCGATGACACATGGGTGGTGGTGGAGGTCATACTTGGATCTGGGGTGTGAGGGGGTTCATCCACGTGAGCAGGCGAAACTGTCCACGGCCGAAACTGTGTCAACAAGAGTCGGTGGGGCGGGGCCGGTCGTGCTCATAGTCGTCATCTCTGTCAAGCTCCATAAGGTCATCTTTTCTGGCCTCTCCATAGGTTTGTACGTCCTGCTAAAGTCTATCAGTTGAAGGTTGAAAGGCTTGCCGTCCCTTTATCATCGCACAGTTGCCGTCAAAGACAAAAAAAGCATCAGTGACTCCAAAGGGAAGATGGAAGAAAAGAATAGATATTCAGAAATGACGTGTGCAGCTGCCGGATAACGATCCAATGAGATCACGTGAGAGAAACAGGGCCTGCTTGGACGTATGGATCCCCTTGAAAAAGACTTCCATCAAACCGCTTCATAGTGATTCGATTGGTACAGAAGCTTTGCCTCTGCCACAGGAGCCTTGATGTAGATGCGTACATCGAGACAAGTTCCTCCTTTTGTACTTCTCAGACTTGTTGACATTTGTTGGCGTCCAACACTGCAGGAGTATCATCACCTACATTTGTAAATGGTCACAAAAAAAAAGACCTGGCACGTATCCTGACCAACGTAGATCGTGGGTTCCCCTGGCGTTCGAGTCGATTTCGTACAGTGTAGGGTGTTGTTCTTTGGTTCCCCTGGCGTTCGAGTCGATTTCGTCCAGTGTAGGGTGTTGTTCTTTGTGAACGCGCATCAGCAGTGCAGGTTACCACATACCTGAACATACCACGGTGATGTCGGTGTGGGTCATGGCACCGGTCGACCCGAATGGACGACCTGAGTCTGAGTCAGTCAGTCAATCTGGCCTATTTTCGGGGATCCGGGTTTTGACCTACAGCCATTCAAGCTCAACAAAAAGCACAGACAGTCCAGGGCGTCGAGCACGTGGGGACCCTGAGGTTGGTGGAAGTGGGAGGTTGATGAAGTGGATGTTGGGCATGTGGCATTCTTCACCAAGGTACTATCCAGTTTCTAAGAACATCTAAGAACTATGCAAAATCATCCAAAATCCAACCACCACCTGTTGGAGGGGCCTGCCGAGTTGGGTTTGATGTGGGACATCCTGGAAGCTATGCATTGCCTTGATGATACACGTACAATAAGAGATATTTTGAGTTCGAACACACCAATGCAGATCCTTTTGACATGCAGGGGAGCTGTTTGCGCAGGTCGAGCAGCAAGGGGGTCCATTGCACAAACTGCACCACCTTCCTGCATGGCCTTAACCTCTCACCCTCAAACTATGGCCGACATCTCAATCCTTGGCCTTCAAGTGCTGCAAGCGGATCTCCTGCAATGGAGCGATGGTTTCTTGAAAAACAATCGGTACAAAAAGCACGTACTGATCATGCTGCAGCCTTAAAAACTACAGATACTGACAGGTACTCCTTCTGACGATCACGCTCTCAGGGTGGTACTGTTACTACATGGTGCCTGAAATCCTTCTGACAGGCACTTCTATAATCTTCTATACAGGTTCATCATGCTTCATCGCTCTCGATGACCTCCTTGGGAACGAAAGAAAACAAGGCGTCAGACGGATCCGCCGCGGCCGGATCCGTTGACGCCGGACATGTCCAGATCAGGCAAACCAGAGTGTTGGCGAGTGTCACATGCAAGCTTGGACGGTCTTTAGGAGTGTTGTGGCCCACCTAAGGTAGAGATCGATTCTGAGATCGAGCTGGCGTATTCTGAGATCGACCTGAGCTGCGAGTCTCAACGGGCGCGACCCGCCTGTAAAGACTCTTCCAGATTCTCTTCTCCCGTCAGCACAGCGATGTCCTGCACAACATGTGTGTGTGTGTGTCGGAGAGTGTTCTTTGGACTGTCTAGCAGCTTGGACGAAACCAGTATAAAACAGTTGTTAAACAGGGATGAAGCAACTGTCTACAGTACTATCTTTTTGTATATGCTTCATTCTCTGAACCTTCCCCTGAGCAAACAGGCAACAAACCGCTGCCTTCCAAGACTCCCAGACACTTTCCTCAAGAGTCAATCCATGAATTGGCAGTGGGTCATGGCACCAGCATACCCACCGGGCACGACCTACCTGGGTGTCGGTCGAGCTACATGGACCAGGGCTCCAGGTTTTGACCCATCCCCAAATATGAGTTCAACTTTCAACCTGCAGGACTGCATTGAACCATGCATTACAACCAAAAGCACCTTGGACCTCAACAAAGCAACATGTTTTTCTCCACCAGATGGCAAAACTTGGTCAACTCTTTCATCCTTGGAGCCCCTGGGACCTCCAAAAATCACCGTTCCACGCCATCTTGGCTTGGCTTTCCAGCTCTGTCAGCTCTGAACTGTGATGCGTCCAATTCGTCGACCAGTTCTGCCGTCGTTTCGACGAAAAAGCGGCTTCGCTCACCGCCGGCTTTGCCACCTTCACCGGCTTCGCGGCCCAAAAAGGACCATACCACGCCGCACGCCCGCGAACCGCGCAGCGAACCGCGTTCGGCGAATCGGTCTTCGGCTCAACCGCTTCGGCCGGTCGATCGGTCTTCGGGCGGTCCATGGAGGTGCTCAGGAGCCGTGTGCTGAAGCCGATGTTACGGGCCGTCTCCAACTTGTCCCCCGTCAACACCCAGAGCTGAATCCCCGCCTGGCGAGTCCCTCGACTGTGAGCGGAGTCTGAGTCCGTTCTGGGAGAGTCCCGGTGGAGTCTGGTGGTGGAGTACGGGGGGGCTGTTATAACACATCTGATTATGGCGTACGGCGGAGGAGATTTAGATAGATTTAGCATGCCTTTTTCGTTTCTGACATCAGTATAGTATGTACAAATGATATCAAATGACAACACATCTTCTTCTCCGGGTGTAGGTAGTGGCCACTGACCCAAGGTTTTGGTGCATTCTGAGAAAAAATATCGGAGATCTTAATCTTCCTGGTGTTTTTTCAATTCTCGGAATCTGCAGGAAAAGGCAATGCAAAGAAGTTCCCACACAATTAATGTCAAAAATCATTTCCAGGAGCAAGGACGCTACTAGTAGCTCCTGGCACTACTACAAGAAGCTACTAGTAACAAAGGGCATCGCTACTAGGAGCAAGGACGCTACTAGTACAACGTTATTGCATGTGATTGCTGGGATCCACAGGCAAAATTGCTTCCACACTTCAGATGCTCATCGCTGGCCTCTCTCAGCTTTTCAATGGTGTCCTCAGCTACCCGAGAATGACAGCAAACAGCCCTCCCTCTAGAACAATGTGTCACACCCTTCCAATGTAGCTGCATTTGTACGAAAAGCACGGTCAGTTTCACCACAGAATACAACCCCTGCGACTGTCCGAGCGACAACACGAGCGCAGCGACTGTCGCATAGGTCCAACCTCCAAAACCACCTTGGCACACCTGGTGTCTGCTGTTGAAAATGGAACACCTCCACACCTTAATCCCTTCCCTAAACTCTAAACCCTAAACACCACGTCCTAAACACGTCGGTCTCTTCAGGCTTCTCAACGTCTCACCAGGGCTCGGGGACGCCCACTTGGAGCTTATCTTCGATCCCCGTGACGCCCAAGAGCTCCAGGTTCACTTCGATCTGCTCCGCCAGCTCCTCACCGTCCGGGCGGTGGCCGTGGCAGTCCAGCGTCCCCCTTAACCAACGCACGGGTCACCAGGTCACTGGGTCGCCTGAAGGTGGCCGTGTTTGGTTGAAGAGCGGGGTTTGGCCCTTTTTGGCAGAAGGTGAACACTGAAGATCGTATTTGCAACCTGTAGCTTGGAGATGTTTCTGACTGGCATGGGATATTGGCCGTGGTTCCAGTTCCAATGTCCAATGTGCCTGACGCGTGGCTGGGATGAGGGTCTAACCGGATCTAAGTTCGAAGTACATCTGCAACAAATGAAGGCTGGTTTCAGAATTGCCAAAAGCACCTCCAACCACCCGTGCTTTCTTCACTCACATCACACTGGATCCCTGGATCCGAATCGGGATTGTCAAAGAATTGCGTGGACTTTAGACATAACTTGGTACAAAACGCCTTGAAATAAAACAATATTAAATATATAGCTTTGCCAAACACACACAGACGTTCCGGCGTGTGTTTGGCTCCTCCAATCGGTCCTCCCGGTCCTCCAGGCTGCACCTAAGTGATCCACGCCAGATGCAGTTTCAGTTTCAGTTTCGACTCGGGATATTGATTTAAGTCAGCCCATGGTCAATCTCGATCCCTGCAATCACTAGGTGTGCACCACGCTGAAAGACGATGCAAGCGAATAACCATCAATGGCATTACCAATGGCTCAGCCAAAGGACCAGCCGGGAGAAAAACAATCCAAAGCCTATTTGACGAGTGAATTCCTGCGTTCGTAACCTGAGGTGACTTAACAAGGATCACTTCAATCAAACCTATCGGTGGACTTTCTAGCTATCTTCCTCGTCCAGTCCAAGCGAGAAAATCTTTGCCTAACCGTCGAACCGTGATGATTTGATTAGAACTGAACATTTTATCCTAAAGACCAGTACCACGCCAAACAGTCTTAGAGATCCCTCAAACCTACGACTTCTCGAGTCAAGCAACAAAGATCGACAAACAATTCAACAAATATTGGTAACTACACTCCCCCAAGTCAAAAACACATATGTGTAAATACACTCCCCAAGCAAAAAACACTATATATATATAATATAATATACATAAATATACCCTACATATCCCTACATGTCGATGAATTTGGGCCACAGCATTTCAGGCAGTCACTTTCTCCATCTGTGACCCTCCAGTTAGCCAATCAGTTAGCCCACCATCATTCCCTCCCGCCACCAGGGTATACACCGATCGTGCCCGGCTTCGAGCCCAGGCGCTGGGCGGCTTCGAAGGCCTTGAGCCACTTCTCGGCCTCCGCAGGGTCCAAGGCACGTCGACCCAAGACCAAGGTCCTCGTGGCGCCGAGGGCGTGTCCCGGGCAAGGACAACGGTGCAGGGGGTGGTCGAAACATGGGACACAGATGGACACATGAAGCTTTGGAGGAGCATCGGAGGTTGGGTGGGAGTTCATTTCGAGCTGAGGATGGTGCGGGTGGGAGCAAGAGAACGGGAGGGACATTAGGGATATGTTGTCTTCGAGATGGCGAGGTGAGACATCAACACCTTCTTGATTTCAACTAGCTATACAGCTACATATATAAATTATATATATATAATTTAGATATGCCTCCAACAATTTCCGCAAGCTCGCCTTGCTTCATCTTCATGCTATTCTCGCTATTGCAAATATAGCATGTTCTTTGGCCGGTGAGTCATGTTGCAAAGAATCTCATTAACCGATCAAGAGTTCTCACCAACAAAAACATATTCCGCTTGCTGGTGCCAGTTAGCGGCAAAAGCTCGAATGAATCCCTTCAATCCTAGTTCTAGCCAGAGCCGTGTCATGGCCCAAGGACGAAGAGAAAAACGTGTGTGTTACAACATATATTAAGTTATATATATAGTATCAAAACTAACTAGTAAACACTATTATAGTATCACAACTAACTATATATAGTATATTTGTTAGAATCATGTCTTACACTCGATTATATACCATGATTATAAATGATTATCATAATGCAATGTGTGTGTGACTTGCATGAATAAAATAGCTTGCTTTCTTGCACCGGGCAGGATCAACTACGTGCACCGCGTGGACACCCTGGCATTTCGACCGAAGACATGTACCAGCTCGGTGCGTCGAAGAGTGAAGTCGTTGTCGATTGTGCCCCCCAACAACCCGGCGGATGGTGCTTGGGAGAATACCGGTTTGTGACTGGATGGTACCAATATGTACCAATGGTACCCTATCTATCTATCTGATATCCGCTATGTTATGACCTATTATGACCTAATGTTTGAGCCATACCGACCACACCCTCATCCCATAAAATCCATGATTTGGAGTCTACAGTATATGGACCATACGTATATGGATCCCCGACCGGTATCGACCGGTCCATGGGCGCCCCTCGCTCCTGAGTCCATCTTTGGAAAAATTACTCAAGCTCTCATTGATCCAGCCAGGTACCTCAGTCCGTTTCTCAAAACATGCTGAAACACCAAAAATGGAGCATGAAATCCTTGAGATCTTGCAGGTTAAAACCCTCCAAGGACACCGCGGCGTCTGCAAACGGGTGAGGAAAAAACGATCTTGAGGTGTAAACTTACCCTGATGATCTTGTTCTATCTCGTTCCAGAAATCTTATGTCATGATATGGCTGTGGGTCAAAACCGGGCTACCTGGGTCGACCACCAAAAATGAACAGAATGGACCATTCAAGGAGGTCAACCTACCCTGGTTGATACGTAGATGACATTCTCCGCGAGTCTTGCAATGGTCTTCCAACTTGGATTCACCCAAATCATTTGACTGCTATATCCACTCCGCACTGATCCAGGTGGCAACCAGTAACTATGAAACCACTCAGTGGACCTCAAGCGGCTTCAACGGTTCTGTTCCAAGAAAAGCTCGTGACACACACCCCGCCAAATTGCAAGTACATAGCCCTTGTACCCAGATCTGGTGCCCTCACCGCACCTTGCAACTTGAAACACTGGTGCGCACGTTACATCTGGGGCCTTTTAGCAGAAGGTAGTGAAGCTTTTGCCACTGTCAGCCAGCCCAAATATCCCAAATATTGCACGCAAATTCAAGACCCTTTTCAGATCATGAAGACCATGTGCCGCATAGCTTTACGATTTAATGAGTTTTGGTGGTGCACAGCATCTATTGTTCAGTCCACCCGTGCTATCGGTCTAAGCTGCCGCTGCTGCTCGAGCAATCATCACCTCAAAGATCCAGCGATTTCGCTGCGGAAGGGGCGAGTCAACATGGCATGGCGGGAGGACTGGCCATGTCTGGCCGGTTTGCTTCCTCAAACATCCAGTGATGTTTGTGGGCACCCACACCCCTTCCAACCACAACCCAACTGCATAGAACTGAAGAACTTTGTCAGGAGGGATAGAGCTGCATCGATGAATCCAAATAGCCATAAAGGCCTTATACTTATAGATGTCATCCGCGTCCAGTCCCAAGACATATCTGCTAGACACTTGTGCAGGATTGGATGAAACCTGACTAAGAATAAGAACGGTTACAGTATACAAAAAAAAACTTAGCCAGCAAGTAGACCAGCTGCCAATTGGTTCCTCGTTAGGCCACTTCGTTTGGAATGTCATTCAAAGAGCACTCTGCAAAATGAGGGCTGTGCTCTGTCCGGGGACAACGATGTGCTTGGAGAAAGGCTAGAAGTGGGGTGCGAGATGGTGCGAGCCACCTGAAATCATCAGACATGATGTGAACAAATGTAACTAACTATGCATCCATATGCATCCCTGCAAGTGCAATCTGCAAAGTCATGTGGTACTGTAGCACCCAGCACTGCACCTGCGGCTGGGTCACATTGTCAGCACCCTTCACCCAAAGCCACAAACGCCCGTCGGGCGCACGGGCCACAGTGGACATGCGCTTCCTAACAGGTGAGACACGTCCGACGGCTCAGAAGCAATCACCTGGTTGTTGGATGTTGTTGGACTGCACATCAGCAAGGTGTGATACAGTTACGCAGACTCAGTCCCATTGAGAAAAAATACAAAGTCCTCCTGTGTATGAGCCAAAAGGCCACCCAACTATACCAGGAGTTGCATGTCGGGTAAAGTTCAAGACTCCAAGTGAGTGGATATTACATGGATCTGGAAAACAACTCAAAACCCTAAGCCCTAACCACCCCACTTCTGGGCACTCCTGGTGCATCCACTTCACTTCCGGCAGCACCACCGGCGGTTCACCGCCGCACCGCCACGCGTCCTGGTGGAGTTGAAGCTGTTCACCGCGAGCACCGCGTAGCGCCGCGAGGTCGAGGGCGCGAGCTCCACGGTGATGGCGTCGCCGGAACGATGGACGTAAGTCCTGAGCATGGTGTGGTGGAAGGTGGAAGAAGGTGGAAGTTCAAATGTGTGATGTTTGGGTGAAAAAGGGGCAAAAAGGAGAAACGATGAGGAACGTGCTGGGTGAAACATGAGATGAATGAAACGAGTTCTTGAATGTATGGAACCAGACCAATCGACCATCAGTATCAAATGATACGTGCTTTTGCACGTATTTTTAACGCCTATACCACGAATTGACCAGAATCCACCACCCAAATGACAATCTTGTTTTGGTCTAAGAGACGGGCACAAAACAAAACAAGATCCACATGTCACATGACATCTCATGACACGAAGCAACTACGTCGCATTTCAATCATGTCCTGATTGGTTTATCAGAATGTGCTTTGCCATGGTTTGCAATTTTCCAGGTGGTTCCTATTTGGAAGCTCACCTCAATTCCAGTTCTTCCCATCCTTCAGGCGAATCCATCCCCCAGCCCAGTCACCCAGTCCAGTCAGTCCAGAAGGGGATCGGTGTCTGGCACGAAGGACTCCGTGTCTGTCCACTCGACGGAGCAGTCAATGGTCTCACTTCAAGCTGCACAAAAGCTGCAGTGCTATTGGGCACTTGACTTGGAACATCGATCTATGTTTCTTGGCGGTCTTTTGACAAGAATGTCCTCTCCCACTGAGCTCCAGCCCCACAACTGAGCTGCTCGGCCCATGCGATTTTCCTCTGACGAGCGGCCACCCCAGCTGTTGAGCACCCTCCACCAAAGCGCCTGAGGTGAAAACTCTTGAGAGCTATAGGTCACAAAGGATTAGTGTTGCAAAACATTCTGCAGCACCTGGGTTCCCAAAGCAGTGTAAATACGCCCTGTGAGTAGTGGCATATCCTCTATTCCACGATCACCATATGCATGGATTTCATTATGATTTCATATTATATATGTATATGGAAGCTGCGGGTTGACTTCGGGTTCAACACATTCAGAATATACCTGTCGGTATCCTCTACCGCTCCGAAGCCTTTTGGACTTAACTTACCGCTTCGCCTTCATCGGGGCTTTCCGCTTCAAAGCATTGGTCCCCCTTGTTGTTGGTGGCGATCATGACCTGCGGTGGCAGTGTTCAACTGGGCAGACGGTTTGAAGACAGAGTGGCAGGGGGAAATCGGGAAGCGTCGGGAAGTTGGAGGGGGTCAAAGTCAAACCGGACCCGAGGGAAGTCAAGTCGATACCTGAGACGAGATGCTCTTCGTCTTGATCGCTTGTTGTTTCGTGGTAGGCACGGATAGGCACGGTGGTTGGTTGCGTCATTTGATGTCAACGGTTGCTGGCGGCCCATTGGGGTTGTGCGATCCACTAAGACCATGTTCAACAAAAAGAGTGAAAACGGTGCGCGGACCAGTGCGACCATCCTGAAGGAATGGTCGGATCCAGGGTCTCAGACTTTGGATGCCCTTCTGAACTTCAGATGTTGCTTTTTTTTTAACTTAGGGCCCTAGTGCTTTCTGATTGTAGAAGACTTTCTGAGGTGCGCTTGAAGACTCCAACGGGTGGGCTCCAACTTGGGTTCAAGAAAGCCACCATAGCCAGAAGAGCCCTGTCCAATCTGCTAAAGCCCCGAACTCAGGAGGAATCTCTCAGAAGCACTGAACTTGAAAGTGGTCTTTGGGGGGGCGCTGCACCAAGGCAAGTTCTTTTTCCCTTTTCAACCATGGCTGTGGGTCATGGCACTGGGCTATCTTGCTTGACCACAGAAAATGACCAGAATGGACTACCTGACTAGTCGGTCAACCTACCCTAGTGGCTATATAAGGGGCTCTGGGTGCCATGATCCACAGCCACATGGACCTTGTTTGGATCCACCGGCCATCCGCCCCGCCGTGTGGGCGATCGCCAAGACCTCTAAGAAGGCATCCACCTCGATCCGAAAGCATCTCTGCACCGGACTTCGGTGGCTGTTGGATGCTTTTTGTGGGTCCACTCGTTGGTAGTGGTTTTTTTGGGACCCTTTGCAGGAGTTTGTTCAACATCCACACACACACACGGAGAAATTCTGGCACTCTACGGCCTAAAACAAGGTGTGAGGTATTCATAGCCTTGGATCTTGACAGCCTTTTTGCTCTATAAATCTGTCGGGGTGTCTTCCAGCAATAATGCCGCATCACAAAGCACAGGCTGTGTAGATTCTTCCTCTGCAAATCAGGTCTTGAGTGCCATGGATTGTTGAGCCGCAACCATATGGTGTACTTTTGGTGGGGGGTTGTTTGGAATTTCCCAAACCAGTGTGAACCTCCAAACTGCTTGAGTGCGGTGTCAACGATGTTGCTGTCACCTTGCAGTAATCCCGTCATTGTGTCGGTGTGAACTACTGGATACAATGTGGTGACCCAACAGACAGATCACCGTTGGAAGGGGAAGTCCTCCTCGAAACTTCCAAGGGTTTGGAGCTCTGTTTCTTTAAGTCTGCATCAGAATCATATCATATCTCAACTTTGGATTACTTGGATGGGCTGGAACTGTCTTTGCTGAAGAGTGCTTAAGGATAAATGAGACTAAGCTAAATAAGCTACAATCTGGTTCATCTGATTTGATTCTCTTGGGGTCGACATCCCAAAACACGCTGAGCTTTTGCTCAGAACATTCCCAATCAAACACTTAAACGCATGTGCCACACGTGCTGTGCCACATGGGAGAAGAAACGCACCCTTCCTTTGTGGCGGCCGAGTTCGGCCGGACCGTTTGGCCGGACCCGGGTCGGTCCAAACCCAGGGGGATACCCAAAACAAGGCCAGAGGCGGCCGGCCAGCATCTATACCATGTAGTGCCCATGTCTTTCTCCGGTCAATACTGCTATAGTACTTGCTATAGTGTATGGTGGACTTTTTCCGATATGAAGATGTTCACTCTCACTGGTCAAACAATGCACACAGCTCTTCCTGTAGTCACCTGTAATCAGTCACTGTAGTGCCCACCCATGATTCCCCCTTGTTGAACGCCACTTACCACAAATTTCCCTTCACAATTCCAATCCTCAGAACTGTTCATAGGATTTGGTGGAAGATTTTTTGGGGGAATCGTCCCAGCCCCTCTTTTTAACTGACCCCTTGAGTAAATCAATGGCATCTAAATAGAGAATCACATCATGTGAGATTCACCTGATGCAACATGTTGAACATGTAGTGGAAGCCAGACTGCGATCTACTCCGCTGCAGTCCGTTGATGTCCATCGTGTCTACACAACCATATGTATATGCGTCACGTCCAAAAAATGGTCGGTTTGTGAATAGAAGAGGAAGACCCTCCAACCCTGTTGGATGCAGTTTCCTTTCTTCTTCCCATAGGTCGAGCTCAAAGCGGTTTAACGCGTTTAACTCCCTACTTTAAGACACACTAAACGTGTTTATATCTCCTGCCATCGGCAAGACCCTGCAGCACAAGGGGCGGCCATCTGATGCTGTGGAATGGCCTTGCCCGGTGATTTGCTCACAAATGATGCTTCTTGACTTCTTGTGAGTATGGATTGCATTGGAATAGCAAGCTGAAAATGTCAGGGTATACGATATGATATACTGTGGCTGATGCTTCCAAAGGCCCCCAAACTCGCCACAGAACCACCAACACAGATTGAACTCACGCCACCATTTAGCTTGGCAGCTAGTGCCACAAGTTTGCCTTCACGACCAGAAACGCCCATGGGTTCTGAACAAATCACCCCGCCCTTGGTTCACCCCATCGCCCAGCCCGCCTTGGCCCAGCTCTGCAGTTCCTTCACCTGAGAGAAGCCTCGCTGCTCGGTGACTTCCCCGAAGACCTGGCGATGTGAAGCGAAATCGGACTGCGTGGTGCGGTGGTGTGGTGTGGTGAGGTATGGTGAGGTATGGTGACGTAATAGATGGTAATAAGATGTATATAATTAAGCTTTTTCTAAAAGAAGACCGAACCAAACAAGAGTCATCCGTTGAGGTCCCATCAACTCTAGAATCTCTACGTAATCACATGAGAAATGAGTTTCAAGAAACCGTGGCAAAGTCTTTCGCGCAAACGAACTGAGAGGAAGTCAAAGGAAGTTGATAGTCATTTGGACATCACATTGACATGACATCAACATGCATGAGATATGTCCAATGCATGTTCTATCAGGACAACTCTGTTTTCGTTGCCTAGATCGCCCGCTGTCGCGCTGTACGCGCCCCCACCGAGCTGCCTGGCCCAGCACTGCGATGCCTATAGGCGTGTTGGAAGCGGCCAGGCGTCTTGGATGAACACAAACGCCAGGTCTAGCCGTCTAGGATCAACATGGGTCAACACGTCCAGGATCAGCTAGCTCAAGCTGGCGGGATCTGGGACTATCATCAAGGATCCCCAAGCACATCATGTATGGATACTATATAATTCTATGCCTCCATTGACCCCGGTTGACCATCTGGGAAACAAGTTGACAGTCATAGTCCTTGTTGAAGTGGTCCAACGACAGCTATAGTTGACGGTAACGGATCGGGTTTTGGGGGCCTGCTTCAGCTTGCATGCTTGGAGAGAGGATCGAAACTGTGGGTGTGGGCAATCAATTGATGCCTTCACTCACCAAAAAAAAGTTGGTTGTGTGCCGATTGTTTTGATTCAATCTGGCCTATAATCACGGCTTTTGTTGCTCCAACCTTATCCAGTTCATATGCCGCACCACAGAAGAAAAGAGTCATCTAAAGACATCCGACAAATTCTTTTGATGGTCTGTGACTTCCGATTCCATGAGCCATACGAACGATCCCATGGGCAAACCAAATGGCGGCAGGTCTAGAAAATCATGACAACTCCGCCCATCCTGGGCACCACCCACTCCGCCTGATCCTGGTGGAACACCGCCCACTCCGCCGTGACGGCACTCTAAGCATCCCTGCGCTTCAACTCCATGACGTTCTGAGTCAAGGTCCCGGTCTTGTCCTGATGAAGAAGTGTGGGGATTTGAGCGCTGTGGTCCTGTAGTTCATATGATCCTTTTAGGATTTCTGGACATGAAAAAAACAAAAACATATTTTTGTAGATCATATGATCCTTTAGGATTTCTGACAGTCTCTATGTTCCATTTTGGTGTGTGTCTCTTGTTGGAGTCTCTTGTGCGGCCCCTCTGCAGGGTCGCCCAGGGCATTTCTTCGCACCCAAATCACCCAAATGCAAGGTCTTCGTGTTCCCTACCTCATCTGGGCACTGTACCCAGCTCCGCTTCTGATTCAAGCAGCCAACGCAAATGCCCCACGCCTTACCTTGACCCGTCAGTGAAAGTCACTGCTTTAGCGCAAACGTGATCCTCCAAACATAGCAAATGTGGATAAACCCAGCTCGGTTGAGATGGCAGGAAGTGTCTCAACGTGGGTGGTTCAAGAGTCGCCCATATATAATGGCATGACGGTCGCGGGAGCCGCATCTTTTGAGATGTGCAAAGAGGGTGCCTGGATCAAACATCCCAAAACTGCCAGGCCATCGATGTTGGAATCAGGTCTGGCAAATGGATGCAAATGGCTTGACATAATCCATATCCAAACAAATATCGCTTGCAACTTGTGAATCTTGCTTGGCTTCTGTTCAGGTACTCTGGTTCACCAGATCCTCCAATATCTGCTCACTGAGCCCTGGGAATTTCTGGGAGATTGGGTTCAGTGTGACACTCGTGAAATATGTCCAGTGGTCATCATGTCCCAGCTCACCAAGCAAGGCCGGCCTTGCAGATGGGCAACTCCCGCTCCGCGCCTCGCCTCCGCTCCCGCTCCGAACAGATCACGACGGCCCCAACGCTCCGGTCGCCCCTCCCCATGCAGAAGAAGCATCCGAGAAGATGTAGGAGATCTGTCCCAACTCATGACCTCACCCGAGGTAGAAGTCAGATCCAATCAGGTGGTCTTCAAAACGGGCTTGTCGCGCCGCCAGACAGTGGGGATCGATGAAGTACCTGGGGTACATACCAGCATAGGATAATATCTGTATCCTATATGTAGTCTAGGTCTAGGTGGCCAAAATAGTACCTACAAGGATTGATGACTCGATGATTTCTGCTTGACGTGACTCGGAAGACCGGGGATCTGTACTGATTGACCTGCATGGTTCGGGTCAGCGTCTTGGGCAGTCGCCCTCGCACAAAGATGCCAAAAGAAGAACGAACCGCCCTCGCCAGGCCAATCATAGTGGAAAGGGTCTGTCGATTTTAAAGGTGCCATGCCGGTGTGGGGGGAAGGTACTAAGGTGCTCACCAAAACTCTATAATAAGATCAGCAGCTGCAGCTGTGGTATCCTAATTTGTGATCTTCAGCCACCCATATGAACTGATGGAGAACTCATCATGCACCACAGGGCAACTAAAGCAATTCCAAATCCACAGGCTGAGATGAACAGGGTGGACTGTGCACTGTACGACTGTCCATCAACATGATGCAACCTGAGTTGTTGCATATAAACCGTGTTACCACATGTATGGATGGACCGCCCTCCGCATCAACGGTTGTCCATCAACAGGGTGGACCGCCCTCCCGCCAAGTGGCACAAGTTGGTCGAACGAACGGCTGCAGGACAATCCTGCCAAGTCTCACGGGCGTGGGATGCATCAACAATCAGACTGTCTGTTTGACCTGTATACTGTATACGTCATTATATAGGGTGGTTGACCTAGGGCCAATGTAGTGCCACACACAATCATATACAATATGTATTGTCTGGGTCATGCATCCACATTGCCGTCTTAGAAAGATCGGCACCTTACCCGAGACAAAAACATATTCCTCCTCGTCTTTTTTTTCCGATTGCCGTTTTTCCCTCCCGGGTCCCGGATCACCGGGAGATCAAACAAAGCCCAGGACATGATGGTGAAAATCCAAGAACATCACCGATGGAAATCCGAAATCGTACCGTGTTGCTGTGTTTCCGTGGTGGTAAGCAGGTTCTTCCAGAGATTCCCCCATGAAATAGGTTGTTTCTTTCATTTTCTTTCGAACTCCAATGCATGGCCGATACCACGGTTCTTTGTGGGAACTGCTGGTGACCACTGGGAAGGTCTTGAGCATATTCAAGAACTGTTCTCTATGACCTTAAAACAACAGCACAACTACTCACTACATCATAGTTTGCTGAGTAGAGTACGCACCTTCCCCAAAAATGCACACATCAAACAATTTCAAAACGATACATCAGAAACACAAACAACAAAGTCCAGACCGCTTGATGCTCTCATTTCGAGGTAGGCAGTGCCACAAACTCCTCCCCAACCGCTAGACAAAAACCACTGCAGCAATTTCACCGCCTGATCCTCATCGTACATGGCCAAATCGCTCTTGACGAAGTAGGCCTTGTGAGTTGCCCCGGGAGCCCAGTTCACCAAGAAAAAAGATCCAAGGGGGTTCGAGAGCGTTCCCACGGCCAAGTTCCTCATCTACTCACTTCCTACTTGGGTCTAGAAACCACCACCTCTGGCCCTGCCGGGTCTCTAGCTTTCGGAGTCAGCACATTGGCAACAGCGACGTCGATCGTTTTCATCCTGTTAGCTGCTTCTCAGCTCAAACACACGCAAGTCGTCCCGTCCCATCGGGTCTCTGGTCCCATCGGCTTCACCGTCGGCCATCGTGGGCAAACACAACTCCTCTGCCTGGCTTCGGGTCCGGGCCTCGCCTGAAAAAAGTTGCAGATCTCCATGGCAGCATACAAGGAGATGGGCATGAGGTTGGAGTAAAGGATGAAGAACCTGGGTGTGCTTTCGTCGATGTATTCATCCCTCGGATTAAACGAACAAATCCAAACTTTCAGTCCGACCAAAATCAATGTGAAGCAGCCGCTGAGGGGAATGGACTCGCACCAAAAAACTAAATTTGGAGTGAACCCCGTGTGATTGGGTCTAAGACCATTGGCACTAAATACTGGAACGGTGGAGCGCCATGTGAAGAAATGGTTCAACCTGACTTGACACTAGAAAACATATGAAAAACTATCAGAATCAAGTGCGGGGTGAGTCCATGAACCTTTGACTAAGCGAAACAACTCTGGATTCAATTGATCTCGCAGTGCCAAAATTAATCCATAGTTAATTCTTTTCAAACCAGTCCTTGTTCTCAGTAGCCTACAAAGTAATGTATATGTTACATACTTATAAATATATATAACCATCAGCCCTGCGCGACCTTGAAAAATAAAGGTCGTTTTGAAAAGCCAATCTTTTAAAGGTTGTCTACTTGAAAACCCGGTTTCGTGTTTCTAGCATGATTAAAGCTAATTCATGCTAACTCCATCAAATCATCCTGACACTACAAACCCTCCCAGATCGCCATCCGTTTTCCCCGCATCCCGCTCGGTTCAATGCCGTGGCCCTGTCCGACAACATCAAGAGGACATGTCGTGACCTCAGATCCTGCTTCGGTATCCTTTCAAGTCGTTTGGGGCATGTAAAAGCATATGCATATATCCAAAAATGCGCGCACACACACGATATGGACGCATATATCCAACGTATTTCAAGAGGTCACATCCTTTGCAACTGCAGGATGATTAATTTCCATTAAACAATTCTTCACAGCCAAAAAGGTTCGCTCGATGACCCTCAAGGAGCAAGTCTTTGGTGAAACGCGTCTAGCCAGCCGTGATGGTTTGCCGACAAAGTCTTCGGACATTTGGTTTCCAAAGGCCAGCACATTCAACGTCCAGTGCCCCGATTTCCCTTCAAGAAAGGTTTCAAGGAACTGATGATGTAGATAGTGCCCCTTTGGGGTGAAAGGAAACCGGCGCTTTCTTTGTTGAAATGTCAACATTGCAAGTTTGGCATAATGCCGAAGGAAAAGGAGTCCCTTTGATCCCAGGTGCATAGCCCTAGCAGGCTTCAGGAACAGACCCTCACGATAGAAGCCAGACAAGCACTCATTGATGGCAGCTGCAGCTTCTGCCTTATTCACATCGATCAAACGAAGCTTTCAAGTACACGACCAACCTGTTTAACAAGGAAGAAACACAACTCCATTCAGAGACAGGTGAAAAGTGAAAAGCATACAGGTCGTTCCCTAAAGACGTTGTGAAGGACCCAAAAAATGAATGCCAAACGCAACACAGTAACACAAAGCAAATAGATTTCACCATCCGTGTGACCCACCACATTCCTTTTGCAATAGTCCTCATACCATTGAAGGATCAATCTGGTATGGTCCCCTTTGTTCCAACCACCTTCGGGACAGTCCTTGAAACTGCCCTGAACGCCCAGAATAGAAAGTGAGATCTGCTTGTGGTATGGCGTCTCATGCACCCTCCGGCAATATTCACCAAAGTCGTCAGTCAACTTTGCGCAAGCATCCACAAGGGACATGGGCTCCAACAATTCCATGGTCATACATATGGCACTAGCGGCAAAGCTCTGCCCCACACCAAGATGGAAGTTGTGAAAGATGTCGAAGCGATAAAATGCCTCAAACCCAACATCAGACCCAGCTTGCAAGAAAGGAATTTTCATGTAAGGTGGGTCATCCGCAAAAGGTTTCAGCGAGCCAACCGTTGGCAGCCACTGGGGCTTCAAAGCACCCAAATCTTCGAATGGAATGTGCGTACCGTGAAAGTTTTCCATGGCAGCACAGCATTGATGGCAAATGCCAGAACAAGGCTTCCTGGAGCGCGCCTGGGCCGGTCGCCTTGTGAAGGATCTCTCAAACTTGCCAGTCTTTTGCAAGTATGGAGCATCGCCCTTGCAACCAACGACTGCAATGAAGAAATGCTTACCATCAAGCATGACACCTGAGTGGAAAAGCCTTTCGTATTCAGCCGCTTGCACGAGGACCTGATCAAAAGCCTCAGGAGTCTCGTTGTATAATGAGATCGGAAGCACGCTATGCAAGAAGTGAGTAAGCGAGGTGTTCCCTATCATGTTGAGGTACAGGGGGTTCTCCAACTCATCCAGTGGACCATCCTTGAGAAGGTTGACACGAGAAGAGCCCTTCCCCATGATGCCCATTGCCGAAAGGATCATCACTTGTTTCTTCTTTCTTCCTCTTCCTTCGTCCCCATGTAGCACTATCGGAATTGTGCGCTCAGGGTGTTGTGGGGCACCCTGCACTGTAGAGTCGAACATCACATGTGAGGGATGTGAGGATCGAAAGCGGTCCCAAAATGTCTGCAAGTCCTTGTGCATTTCCACGGGGTCTGTGGTACCGACCAAGTGATCCAACTGGTCAAACTCGATGAGGTACTTCAGCCAGTCTGAGAACTGCACATATGGAAAGCGAGGCTTGCTTACCAGGTCGACTCTGGAAATTTTCACCGGCAACGACTGACCACACTTTCTGAAAACCCCGTGGCTTCCATGCTCAGACTTCTTCAAGGGAACCTGAGCTAGCTTCTTGATGCCCTTCGATGGATATCGAGTCACACGAGCTTGTCGAATAACATCACGGCATGCGACCTTAGCGCAGAAATCGAAAGTTACGTTGGGACAGTAGCATCGTAAGTCACATGCCATGATACTCTATCGGTCCGTGTCTCTTTGTAAAACGTTAAACCTAATGAGCAAGTATACGCAAAAAAACAACAATTGTTGCTTAAACTGATGCGCGCACATTGCAGCAGCACAAAAGCACTGCCCAGACTTAAGCAACCAACAAACTGTTTCGATGGTGTGTTAATTGTTGTGATACGCAACCCCTTCCTGATCCCTGGCATTCACTCCTGAAACGTCCAAGGTGAGGCTCATAGCATGGTTTGATATCCATGCCCATGCAGGATTTATATAGCTTGCGTGGGTCCCATGGGTGTCATGCCTTGTTTGGACAGGGTATCAACGCGAAGCCCCCATCGAACACAAACCCACAACCCCCAGCAAATGTTTAAAGAACATTGGCAGTGCATGCAGGCATGCATTGTGGTTTGACCCTGCGGCTCTAAGAAACCATATACACACCAAAGAAGAACAACAAGTTCTTTTTTCGCAGCCCTGAGCATCCAAACTGAATTTGGTCTCGCTAAGAATTGTGGTTAGTTCTTTATGTTGTATTGGAAGTCATAACCCTGTAACAGGTGTGCGCACACACGTATACATATACACAGATCGAGCATGATCAGCACACTGCAAACATATAAGTTATTCTTTGGGACCAATGTCAATGAAAGTATAGGGATCTCAAGAACATGATGTTGCCAGCTTGAGTCACTGCCAATTGTGGCATGGAGTGTTGGGACACATGTATACATACTCCACGGGCGTGGACATTTGATGGATCGAACTTGGACGTGTTGTGCCTTCACAGGGTGCTATATTCAAGGTGAAAGCCAACAGAACATTCTTAACTGATTCCGGGTTCTTTTTGTTCGATGTCTTTTTGAGGGAGCTCCACCATTTTGCCAGGGACAGCCACTGGTGCACTGGACATCCATGACAGGGCTTTCATTGTTGAATGTGTTGAACACCATTTCCACTTATAGCCTGTGAAACAAAAATGGCAGCCCTGGAAGCATTGCTCCCAATCCGACATGTGCACCCAGAGCTCCCAACACCGCTTCCCACCATGCGTGCAAATCCTTGAAGCTCAGGTTCGGGACCTGCCATGGCCGGCTACGACGACGGTGAGGTTGGGACGGGGTCCAAAAACGAATAGTCCACTCCATTCAAATTTACACTGTTAAATGTGTGAGTTTGCTCCGAGTGATGTCAGCTTTTTCTCATTTCCCCCATGAACTGCTGTCAGCTCATCCAGAGCACAGCACCCTACAGAGATTGCACGTGTCACTGTAACACGCACATGAACTAATCAGTGCATCGCACTGGCTATTGGTACCATTCACTCCTCTGGAGCTTCTTGATCTTTCTCCAGGTCCTTGAGCTTTTTGTTGAGTGCCTTCTCCACAGCCCTTAGTTTATTGAAGTATATTTCAATCTCACATATATAAATACATACAGCGCGCATTGCCAGCATTTGGTTTCTTAGCAGGCTAGTGGCTTGCCCTGAGCCTCCACCGATGCGAGCGTGGATGCCCTGGGCAAATTGGGTGTGATCGATGGTGTTGGGATTAGCAGCCATGTTTGGGTGCATGTTGGATTCGCGGGTTGAAGTGCTGTGAATTCTTTGTGACTACTTGGACCCCATCTAAAATGCAGGATAGTTTCTTGGCCATAGCAGCTTGCATCTTCGCCTTGACATCTTTTGAATTCCTGGACAGCAAGGATGATGTTGGAATACCACCCATGGTTGGCAACCTTCATGGTGATAGCCACATGCAATATAGAATGCATGCTTATATACTTGCATTTCACCCAAGGGTGGCTGTTGGCTCTTGGTGGACTTGAAAGTGAAATAGTTGTGATGCATGCCGGGAAAACCGTAGTATTGGACCGACCTTGCCAAGCACATATCTATATATATATAACTGCAGATCTATAGGACAGTCTTAATGGCATTTGTGGTATTGTTTCCATTCAATGCATAATGCATTCGTGGGCAAGTATCTCCGCGGTTCTCTCAGCATTGCCAAGTACTGACCGGCTCTCGACAAAGGCATCGAAGGACTTCTGGGCGACATCAACCTTTTCCTCCAAGGCAGCGACCAGCCTAAGCGCAACACTGGAGCGGATCATGTTTTGTGTATCATTAATTACATATGTTGGCTGAAGATGCTGGGAGATCATCAGTCCGCATTCTTTGTTAATACAAGACATGGCACTTCTTGCAGCGGTGTTTGTCCGATTCAGCCAACCCGGATCGTGTATCAAAGCCTTCCAGT